TATAACGCATATCCCCGCTCAACAGCAGGCTCTATGTGCTTTACATTATATTATTACCCCAGCAGACCATAGAACACACCGAAACATTCTCAGCTTCCCGGGAAGCATACAGGGCAAGCAGCTGATTAAGCGCTCAAACACTAGCAAACTGACAAGATCTTTCGCTGTCTATAGCCGGGTATCCATTCCCACCTGGGTGAAGTGAGGAATATTCGTGTAAAGTGCCTTTCCCAAGGACACAACGTCGGGCCCCTGAAGGGATTCGAACCCACAACCTTACGGTTGCGAGTCCGAGAGCCTAACCACTAGGCCACCGACGCCACAATGTTGTCATTGAGATATTTATAGCCATCATATTATGTCGCAGACGATGATTGGTCCATTTTGTTAGTGACGGGTCAGGTCATTGGTTGCTTATGAAGTGTTGACGTTGATATATCAATATCTATTATGTATTGTAGGTGAAGATTGGTCCATTTGTTGTATGGATGTTGCGCACTGGTTAAGTTATGAAATGTACTCGTTGACATATACATGAAAAATGTATAACCATCATGTGTCGCAGGCGATGATTGGTCCATTTTGTTAGTGACGGGTCTGGTCATTGGTGGATTTACGAAGTGTTTTTTCGGCACTTATATGACCTTATTATGTTGCAAGTGTCGTAAAACTCTTACTACTAAAAAAAAGAAGTGTTTTCAGCGCCATGTTGTCCACTGTTATGTGGTACATAATGACTGGTCCATTATATCACACAATGACTATCAATTGTATCACATAATAACTGACAATTGTATTGCATAATGACTGGTCAATTGTATTACATAATGACTGATCCATTGTATTACAAAATGACTGGTCCATTGTATTACATAATGACTGGTCCATTGTATTACATAATGACTGGTCCATTGTATTACATAATGACTGGTCCATTGTATTACATAATGACTGTCAATTGTATTACATAATGACTGACCCATTGTATTACATAATGACCGATCCATTGTATTACATAATGACTGATCCATTGTATTACATAATGACTGTCCATTGTATTACATAATGACTGTCCATTGTATTGCATAATGACTGTCCAATTGTATTACATAATGACTGGTCCATTGTATTACATAATGACTGTCCATTGTATTACACAATGACTGTCCATTGTATTACATAATGACTGGTCCATTGTATCACATAATGACTGGTCCATTATATCACATAATGACTATCAATTGTATCTCATAATAACTGACAATTGTATTGCATAATTACTGGTCCATTGTATTACATAATGACTGTCCATTGTATTACATAATGACTGGTCTATTGTATTACATAATGACTGATCCATTGTATTATATAATGACTGATCCATTGTATTACATAATGACTGGTCCATTGTATTGCATAATGACTGTCCCGTTGTATTGCATAACGACTGTCCATTGTATTACATAATGACTGGTCTATTGTATTACATAATGACTGATCCATTGTATTATATAATGACTGATCCATTGTATTACATAATGACTGGTCCATTGTATTGCATAATGACTGTCCCGTTGTATTGCATAACGACTGTCCATTGTATTACATAATGACTGGTCTATTGTATTACATAAT